GACAGAGTGAGACTCTGTCTCCAAAAAAAAAAAAAAAAAAAGGAAATATAATTTTACCTGTATCTTAAACTCCCTGGTATTAGAATATAATGCCATGTAAAGCTTAGCAATACTGATTTTTTTTTTCCTATAGAGAATCTTCTAGTATATATATTAGCAAATATTTGATGGATGAAGGCGCACACCTCCATATATATGATCCAAAAGTACCTAGGGAACAAATAGTTGTGGATCTTTCTCATCCAGGTGTTTCAGAGGATGACCAAGGTAAGGCTTTGAGTCTCATGAATCATTTTGAGTACAGACCTTAAAATTTTTATCTTTTGGAAACCTTGGGTTGTTCAGTTTTATCATTGATATCATTGGTAGGCCTTCTTTTAAACCTCGTTTCTCTGAAATTAAAGTCTTAGGCATAATGTCATCAACATTGATTTGAAGTGATCAGCTGTGGACTGGTCCATTGATTTTTCCAACATATTCCACAAAGCCCCAAAATTCCAAGGAGATGATTCCAAGGCAGAGTTTGGGGCCTGCCACCATCACTCCCACTGATGCTAAAATCAGATTATTCCCAACTCTTCTGCAGTCCTCGTGTTAGAGTATCTATAGTACTATCCCCCTTATGTGTGATTTTTCTTTCCATGGGTTCAGTTATCTGCAGTCAATTGCAGTCTGAAAGTACTAGAAAGAAAATTCCAGAAATAAACAATTCATAAGTTTTAAATTGTGTGCTGCTTCATCCTGCCTGGGACATTTATCATTCCTTTGTCCAGCATATCCACATTCCACATGCTACTCGCCCATTAGTCACTTAGTAACTTTTGGCAATCAGATTCAAAAAACAAGTATGTGTGTAAGTACATATGGGGTTCAGTATTCTCCACAGTTTCAGACATCTACTGGGGATCTTGAAATGTATCCCTGCAGATAAGGGGGGAACTACTGTAATGTCAAATAACTCCTTTCTTATTTCTGTTTTTTTGTTGTTGCTGTTACAGTGTCCCGGCTCGTGACCATTTCCAAGGATCCATATGAAGCATGTGATGGTGCCCATGCTGTTGTTATTTGCACTGAGTGGGACATGTTTAAGGTAAGGTAACAGAAATGATACTAAGGAAAATTCTAGAGGTGTTCCACTATCAGCTGAGGTTGAGTATGTGTTCATGTATGTGTTTTTTTTTTTTTGAGACAGAGTCTTGCTCTGTCACCCAGGCTGGAGTGCATTGGCGCCATCTCGTTCACTACAAGCTCCGCCTCCCGGGTTCACGCCATTCTCCTGCCTCAGCTTCCTAAGTAGCTGGGACTACAAGCGCCTGCCACCACGCCTGGCTAATTTTTTGTATTTTTAGTAGAGATGGGGTTTCACCATGTTGGCCAGGATGGTCTCGATCTCCCGACCTCGTGATCCACCCACCTCCGCCTCCCAAAGTGCTGGGATTACAGGCATGAGCCACTGCGCCCAGCTCATGTATGTATTTTAATTGTTCCTATGGTTTGTCTTTACAGGAATTGGATTATGAACGCATTCATAAAAAAATGCTAAAGCCAGCCTTTATCTTCGATGGACGGCGTGTCCTGGATGGGCTCCACAATGAACTACAAACCATTGGCTTCCAGGTAATCATGATCCTGGACCCTTTTTCTTCTTTTTGTTTGGTCTTTAGTGTTTGATTCAACAACTGGGGACTATAATCTAGTCAAGTTGACATCAAAAGACCATCACAGCAGGTCAGAATATGTTTGGCTGATTAAGATGATACCTAGGGAAGTTCTAGGGCAGTTCTTTTGGGGAACCAAATCAATATCAGAAGTTTATTTCAACAATTAGGAAAGTGCTCATTTGCTTTTTAAACCCATTGTGTGGGTTTTAGAATTTTCTTATTTTCCTTAGCAGTAACCTAACTCTGGGGCAACATGTCAGTTCTTTAGGAAGTCCCTTTGGGATTTTTCTGACTACTCTACTTCCTCCCTAAATTTGTGATCTAAAGGTAGAGAAAGAAAGAGGTCTTGGTCAATCAGCAGGTGTTCATCCTATACCTCCTGAGTACTCAGCACTGTCCCAGTGCTGTGAGGGGTCTGAATGAAATATATGGGAGTTTCAATGGTACTGGCCCGCTTCTGATTCAAAGTTTATCAACTGGCCAGGCATGGTGGTTCACACCTGTAATCCCAGCACTTTAGGAGGCTGTGGAGGTGGATCACTTGAGGCCAGGAGTTTGAGACCAGCCTAGCCAACATGGCGAAACCCTGTCTCTAAAAAGAATACAAAAATTGCCGGGCGTGGTGGCTCAGGCCTGTAATCCCAGCACTTTGGGAGGCTGAGGCGGGCATATCACAAGGTCAGGAATTCGAGACCAGCCTGGCCAATACTGTGAAACCCCATCTCTACTAAAAATACAAAAATTAGCTGGGCGTGGTGGCACACGCCTTTAATCCCAGCTACTCCAGAGGCTGAGGCAGGAGAATCGCTTAAACTTGGGAGGTGGAGGTTGCAGTGAACCAAGATCACACCACTGCATTCCAACCTGGGTGACAGCGCAAGACTCCATCTCGGAAAAAAAAAATAATAGTAATTAGCCGGGCGTGGTGGCCTGCGCCTGTAATCCCAGCCACATGGGAGGCTGACGTGGGAGGATTACTTGAGCCCGGCAGGCAGAGGTTGTAATGAGCTGAGATCATGCCGTTGCATGCCAGCCTGGGTGACAGAGCGAGACCCTGCCTCAAAAAACAAAAAACAGCTTGTCAATTATGGAACATTCGGAAAGTTGACAGAAGCCTCCACCCAGAACAGTGTATTTGTATGTTACATCTATTTCAGTTCTCCAAGGAGTCCCAAAAGTATTAATAAGAAGCTACTTTCCATTTCCTTAGAGCAGTGTGTATATGGGGATAGGAGGATGGGGAGGTGGAGTAAGTTAGGGAGAATAAAAAAATATGCCAGGGGATTGCAGTCAACGTAGTGCCCATGCAGAGCAGAAAAGCAGCAGTGTTTGATAGCTTGCTATACACATCTCAGCACCAGCTATCTTGGAGAGGTACAAGTAAGGCCTAATCTGCTATTCAAAAATATCTGATCTGGTTCTCTTAAACCTCTCACCAACTTGGTGAAGGTCCTTATTTAGAACTCAGTGCCCATTTCTCCTTCATGAGAGATTTGCTTGTGGAAAGAATCAAATGGCATCCTTGTCTGGGAACTCTTCCATCCAAGACCTTGGGGACTCTTCTATTCCACCCCTCCCTAGTGAGTAACAGCATGACGGTTTTCCCCGGTCATGACTAAACTCAGGAATGTTATTTTTAAAAGGTTATTTGCAAGGCATAGACACATTTTCTGTCATTCCTGTTTTACTCATCTAAGGGGAAACATATGTAGAGAAATACATATTTTAAATGATTTTAAGTTATTGTAAAAGTTAACTTTCCTAGTGAGGATTAAAAAAACAATTAGGAATGGAATCACTAAATAAGGAGAATTTGTAAGTCACTAAGACAACTGGTTAATATAAAGCAGAAGCCCTTTTTTTGTGGTATGAGTCAGAATTAAATATTAATTTATAATTCAAAAGACAGGAAAATTGAGTAGTATATTTATCTCTGCTGTGGAGGGGAGATAAATTCATGACCGTTGAAGTAGTATTTTTAATAAGAAGATGATTTTGAATATATGGAATAAATGAAAAATGTAATAGGCAAAACAAAAATTGATTATCATTTAGTGAAGGCTGGCTTGTTGTATGCTAAGCACTTTACCTAATTTAATACTTACCACAACCCTTTGAGTTAAGTGGTGGTAACACAATTTACAAGTGGGAAGAAAGACCTGGAGAGTTTAGGTAATGCAGCAGGTGCCAGTCAGGATTCCAGACTCCGAAGTCTGAATTCTTAAGAATTATGCTGTTGGCAGCGCACGGTGGCTTATGCCTGTAATCCCAGCACTTTGGGAGGCCAAGGAGGGTGGATCACGAAGTCAGGAGTTTGAGACCAGCTTGGCCAACATAGTGAAACCCCGTCTCTACTAAAAATACAAAAACATTAGCCTGGCATGGTGGTGGGCGCTTGTAATCCCGGCTACTTGGGAGACTGAGGCAAGGAGAATCGCTTGAACCTGGGAGGCGGAGGCTGCCATGAGCCGAGGTCGCGCCACTGCACTCCAGCCCGGGCGACAGTGTGAGACTCGATTTCAAAAAAAAGAAAAAGAATTATGCTGTTACAAACAGGGCGTAGTGGCTCATGCCGGTAATCCCAGCACTTTGGGAAGCCAAGGCAGGCAGATCACTTGAGGTCAGGAGTTCGAGACCAGCCTGGCCAGCATGTAAAACCTCATCTCTACTAAAAATACAAAAATTAGCGAGGCGTGGTAGTGCACGTCTGTAATCCCAGCTACTCAGGAGGCAGACAGGAGAATTGCTTAAACCTGGGAGACGGAGGTTGCAGTGAGCCAAGATCGTGCCACTGCACTCCAGCCTGGGTGATAGAGCAAGACTCCATCTCAAAAAAAAAGATTATGCCGTTAGCTTTTGCAGGATTTTTAGTACAAGGGAAATTGAAATGAGAATGGAGTTTGAAATAAAATATGAACTCACTGGAATTTGGTCAGTTAATTTCATGCATGTTTCTAAAGACAGTGGTGGCACATAATTGACTACTTTGAGGGAGTCAGGTGTGGGGAATGGCAGGAGTGAGAAAGTCTAGATATGAATATTAAAATGAAGTGTAGATTAATTCTAGAAACAAAAAATAGGGAAGAAACCGAAAATCTCTCATAGCAACCCAGACAACTTGAGAATCCTTTTCTAAGAAAAAAATCTAGATTCCCCCTGGTCCCATTTCGGTACATTGTAAATTCTTACACTTATATAATTGTTAATAGTTCTCTTAAAATTTTTTTTTCAGATTGAAACAATTGGCAAAAAGGTGTCTTCAAAGAGAATTCCATATGCTCCTTCTGGTGAAATTCCAAAGTTTAGTCTTCAAGATCCACCTAACAAGAAACCTAAAGTGTAGAGATTGCCATTTTTATTTGTGATTTTTTTTTTTTTTTTTTTGGTACTTCAGGATAGCAAATATCTATCTGATATTAAATGGTAAATGAACCAAGTGTTTTTAAGGAAACAAAACTATTTTTTTAATCATCAGATTTATACTAGCTATATGGGTATTAGCATATCTGGTAATTATGAATCTAGAATTTTTTTACATATTTTTATAATACTGTTAGCTCAGTTATTGGATGAGTGAAAGATAATCATGTTGGTTTTAATAGTGTCAATTTTTGTAAAATAAAAATTAAACTTCAAACACTTTATAAATTGTCCACAGGCCGCACTTTAATATCACATTATAAAGGGAAGGACAGTCTTCATTTTTCCTGGTTATTGGTTTGCTTGTCATTAAAGATGTATTTTGAATCCATGAAATTGCTATGCTAAATAGCCTTTACATGTATGGTCTGGTTAAAGTTTCTTTGTTCCTTTTGTTTTAATAAAATGTGTCACTGATTTTTTAACTCAAAAGGATCATCACTGTTAATTTGTAGTCACCCCAAATATGGTTAAAATATATATTTTTTTAATCATAACGAGAAAATTAGTAGTAGTGTTTCTTTCTCTTCCCATTATTTCTTGGTTTTTCTCACTAATCTTTTTTTTTTTTTAAGTCCAAAAGCCAAAAATATTTATCTTGGTTTTACATTTTAATTTCCATTCTTAATTGTAATTTTTTTCTTTAAGGAAACCAATATAATCTCATGTATAAAAACTTAAATATTTTACAAGTTACGTATAGCATCATTATAAAATAATTTTGTTTTCCGTCTGCTTTTTTTCTTTTTCTTTTTTTTTTTTTTTGAGACGGAGTCTCGCTCTGTCGCCCAGGCTGAAGTGCAGTGGCTGGATCTCAGCTCACTGCAATCTCCGTCTCCCGGGTTCCCGCCATTCTCCTGCCTCAGCCTCCCGAGTAGCTGGGACTACAGGTGCCCACCACCTCGCCCAGCTAGTTTTTTGTATTTTTTAGTAGAGATGGGGTTTCACCGTGTTAGCCAGGATGGTCTCGATCTCCTGACCTCATGATCCGCCCGTCTCAGCCTCCCAAAGTGCTGGGATTACAGGCTTGAGCCACCGCGCCCGGCCGTCCGTCTGCTTTTTTTCTTATGTCTCTTGTTGAGTTTTATATTTTCAGTGATTATTTCTGCTTGTGTTAGATCATTATTAAAATGTATCCGATGTCCATTTGATACTTGTGCTCTGCTGAGAATGTACAGATTGCATTAAACAACCCAGGTCTCATCCTTCAGGAATTTTGCAGTTCAATGAGAAGAGGGAGACAAATATAAAGATGAGGACAGAAGCATCTGTACAGATAAAAATTCCATAAATAAAACGTTCTCCATCAACAACTGTATGGGTGTAATTTTTGTCAATGCACGAGTAACTGAGTCATGACAGCCTGACATTGGGTGGGGAAAAAAAATGACACCTCACTTTTTAGAGAAAAGGATATTATATTCTCTCAAATGATGCAACAAAGGGAGGGAATTTAGCAAATAAACATTGGCAAACTGTAGCCCATGGGTCAAATCTGGCCAGCCATGAGTGAACTAAGAATGGTTGTTACATTTTTACATGGTCACATGTTAAATGGTTTGACCAGGCATGGTGGCTCATGCATGTAATCCTAGCACTTTGGGAGGCCAAAGAGGGAGGATCACTTAAGGCCAGTTTGAGACCAGCCTGGGCAACTTATTGCCTAGGCAGTAAGACCCCGTTTCTACAAACAAAGCATAAACATTTTAAATGGTTATACGAATCCCTACATAATATCCTCAACTTTACCTCTTGGCTGGCAAAGCCTAAAATATTTCCTACCTGGTCCTTTAAGAAAGTCTGCATACCTCTGAAAAAGACAAACACTAGAGTTCGGACATAAGGTGAGCCTTTACTCATAAGACTTTGAAGTGAGGATGAGTTTATTAATTAGAATTTGCTTTACATTTATGCTTGAAAATATTCTTGTATTTTACTTAGTAATTTTATATTCTAGTAAAGGCATTGTAAATCCAAAGATATATGAAGATGTATGCTAAAGCAGATAGAATTAGGCACTTGTCCAAATGAGGAATTTTAAATTTTTAAATTTTTTTTTTTTTCTATTTTTAGACATCTAATGCTATAGATTCTAACTTTTTCTACTCTTGTCTAGACATACCAAATGCTGGCCAAAAAATTGCTTTTTTTTTTGTTTTTCTTTTTTTGTTTGTTTTTTGGTTTTTTTTGAGACAGAGTCTTGTTTTATTGGCCCGGCTGGAATGCAGTGGCACGATCTTGGCTTACTGCAACCTCTGCCTCCCGGGGTTCAAGCCGCCACGCCCAGCCTAAGAATTGCTATTTGGATATTGCCGAATCTGTAAAAACACAACAATAAGCAAAATCCTTTTAAACAAAGGAATCCTGAGTTCATCTCATTGGTGGAATGAAGCAATTCTGTAGCAAATAAATCCTTTGAAAGAATTACAAAAAGAAGAAAAAAGAAATAGGTACTTGTGCCAGGTGCACTGGCTCATGCTTGTAGTCCCAACACTTTGGGAGGCTGAGGTAGGGGACACCTGAGGTTAGGAGTTTGAGACAAGCCTGGCCAACATGGTGAAACTCGTCTCTACTAAAAATGAAAAAAAAATTAGCTAGGCATAGTGGCACGCATCTGTAATCCCAGCTACTCAGGAGGCTGAGGCAGGGGAATCGCTTGAACCTGGGAGCCAAGCTGGCACCATTGCACTCCAGCCTGGGCAACAAAAACAAAACTCTGTATCAAAAAAAAAGAAAAAAGAAAATAAAGAAATAGGTACATGTTTTAAATTGCAAGATGTTTCAATGCCTGGAACTGATAAGTAAACAATTATTGTAAGATATAGTTACTGGCCGGGCGTGGTGGCTCATGCATGTAATCCCAGCACTTTGGGAGGTCAAGGTGGGTGGATCACTTGAGCTCAGGTGTTCACGACCAGCCTGGGCAACATGGCGAAACCTCGTCTCTAAAAAAATACAAAAAATTAGCCAGGAGTGGTGGTGCATGCCGGTAGTCCAAGCTAATTGGGAGGCTGAGGTGTGAGGATCACTTGAGCCCAGGAGGTCAAGGCTGCAGTGAGTCAAGATTGTACCACTGCACTCTAGTCTGGATGACAGAGTGAGACCCTGTCTCAAAATAAAACAAAAACAAGTTACTGCTAAATGGAGGAAAATGGGCAAAAGAGGGCTCATAGAACCAGATAAACTTGCTGTTTGAAATGGGAGGAAAAACTCAGTAATTAGGCATGTAGCTTAATAGCAATTTGAGACCTTCATGTGAAAAGCTGAATGAAGATGGTTAGTCTTTTTTCTCTCCTCAACCAGTTAAAGACAATTTTTTTTTTAATGATACAAACTTTCAGTTTTTAAAAATATATATATTTAAATGTTTATACCTGATCCCTACCCCCAGGAAAAGTTTCGATTTTTTATTAGCTAATATATTTTTGGTAGGGCAGATGAATATTGGTAAGATTATTAACTGTACTTAAAACTGAAAATAACATATGGACATGATAAAAAGACATTCACATAGATACAAAAGAATATATAAACAAAATCTCTCTCCTACAATTTTCTCTCCTACAGTTGCACTTAAGACTTCTTGGCTAAGCTGCCCGAAAGCCTTGTTTTTCCCGTCTGTAAAACAGATAATCCATCTCTAACTCGAATTGTTATAAAGATTACATGAGATGAATGTTTACACCAAGATCTTATTGGCACAATGACTGGCAGGCACTGAGCACTCCTGTTAGCACCATAACAAGCTGGTCCCACTGCACCAGAACCACGTGTAGGCTCTGAAATCACTAAAGGGACAGTAATTAACACTGAACATTTTGGGCAGGCACCGTGCAAAGTCCTTTAGGTGCATTTTCTCATCTGTTCCTCACGTAAGTCTCTGTTTCACTTCATTTTTTACTTCCCCATGTGATTCTAGGACTGATTTAAGTCTTTTGAGGTAAGTTCTGATCCTGTGTTTCAGACTGCAGGCGGAAGGCTCAAAAGATTTAGCAGCTTGCTCAGGGTCACACCTTAATAAGTGGCAGAACCAGAATTCAGGACAGACTATGTGACTTTTCTCTCCAACTCTTAATATTAGTCATTCTGCTTCTCTGGATATATAAAGGTGCCCAGGTAAAAGTCATTCTTCTCAAATGCAAAGAGTTAACCAGCCGTCAGGCCAATACTTTGTTATGCAGTACTTGTCACTGGTGCCTTATCTTCCTATTTCTCAAGAAAAAGCTAAAAATCTGGATTTGGTGGTTTGATTTTTTTTTTTGGAGATGGAATGTCTGTCGCCCAGGCTGGAGTGCAGTGGTGCAATCTTGGCTCATTGCAACCTTCACCTCGCAGGTTCAAGCTATTCTCCTGCTTCAGCCTCCTGAGTAGCTGAGATTACAGGCACCCACCACCATGCCTGACTAATTTTTGTAAAAAAATCTGGATTTTTATATAAAATCTCTCAATTTTTAAGAGTTGGTACAATGTTTAAAAACAAATTTTTATACTATACAGACCAAAATATCTTTGAAGGGCAGATCTAGATCAAAGATTGCTGGTTTTTAAAAAAAGAAAACCCTAAATTCTGACATAATTTTAGATTTACAGAAAAGTTGAAAGAATAGTACAAAAAATTCTGTATACCCTTCACATTCTGTAAATATTAATATTATATTTGCTTTGTTTTAGCCTTCTTATATACATCACACATAAAATTTATATTTATATAATTTTTTTTCCTGAACAATTTGAGATTAAGTTGCAAGGCCTGGTGCGGTGGCTCATGCCTGTAATCCCAGCACTTTGGGAGGCTAAGGTCAGGAGTTTGAGACCAGCCTGGACAACATGGTGAAACCTCATCTCTACTAAAAATACAAAAATTTAGCCGGGCATGGTGGTGCACACCTATAGTCCCAGCTACTTGGGAAAGTGAGGCAGGAGAATCATTCAAACCTGGGAGGCAGAGGTTGCAGTGAGCTGAGATCATGCCACTGCACTCCAGCCTGGGTGACAGAGCAAGACTCTGTCTTTAAAAAAAAAAAAAAAAAAAAGAGTAAGTTGGAGACATGATGCCCTTTTCTCCTAAATACTTCAGGGGTATCTCAGTTTCTGTGAGTCAGGAATTCAGGAACAGTTTAGCCAAATGGTTCTGGGTCAAAGTCTGGTTGTAATCAAAATGTCAACCAGGGCTTTAGTCATCCAAAGGCTTGACTGGGGCTGGAAGATTATCTTCCAAGATGACTTGCTCCTATGACTGGCAAGTTAGTGCTGGCTGTTGACAGGAGGCCTCAGTTCTTTGCCAACTGGATCTCCTCATAGCACTGCTTGAGATCCTCATGACACAGCACAGCAAGCTGGCATCTCCAAGAGTGAACAAACCAATAGAGGACAAGACAAAACCTCCAATGTCTTTTATTATCTAGCCTCAGAAATCATACCCCGTCATTTCTACAGGATCCTATTGTTTAACCAGATAGCTCTATTCACTGTCTGAAGAGACATGGATACCAGGAGGTGATAATCACTGGGAGCCATCTGGGAGGTTGGCTACTGGAGTTTTATTTCCTTAAAAAATAAGGAAATAGGGCAGGTGCAGTGGCTAACACCTGTAATCCCAGCACTTAGGGAAGCCAAGGCAGGCAGATTGCTTGAGCAATCTGGCACAACCCCATCTCTACTAAAAATACAAAAATTAGCCAGGTGTGGTGGCACATGCCTGTGGTCCCAACTATTTGGGAGGCTGAGATGGGAGGATCGTTTGAGGTGGAGGTTGCAGTGAGCCAAGATCTCACCACTGTACTCCAGCCTGGGCGACAGAGTGAAACTGTGTCTAAAAAACGAAACAGGCCAGGCGCAGTGGCTCATGCCTGTAATCCCAGCACTTTGGGATGCTGAGGTGGGTGGATCACCTGAGGTCAGGAGTTCAAGACCAGCTTGGACAACATGGTGAAACCCCATTTCTACTAAAAATACAAAAACTGCCAGGTGTGGTGGCTGGCGCCTGTAATCTCAGCTACTCAGGAGGCTGAGGCAGGAGAATTGCTTGAACCTGGGGGAGCTGAGGCTGCAGTGAGCCGAGATTGTGCTACTGCACTCCAACCTGGGCGATCGACCTAGACTCTATCTCAAAAACAAAACAAAACAAACCAAACAAAAATATTGTTACTCCTTTAAACTTTCATCCACTGGTTTTAGCATCTACTAATGATTCCTGTCTGAATTATTATGACAATGGTAGCTTCCAGTTTTTGATCAAGTTTGAATCTTGCTTTTGCCACTTCGTAGAAATGGGGCCTTGGCCCAGAATGTCAACTTTCTTAAGTCAATTTCTTC